ACGGTCACTACAAAGAAAACGAGACTTCTCCAAATCAAATTAATTACTTCACAAATGAAAATCTTACTTATCCTTTCCTTCAATGGGATCTCGTCTTTGGTCAGTAATAAGATATCATGTGATCTTTGCTGTGCGGCCGCTGAAGGTGCAGGCGACTGAGCTTGCATCGGAGGAGTCGCTGTGGACGTTGATGAGGTAGGAGATCGTCGCTCTTCCGGATCAACTTTTTGACGAATCTGAAGTTCATTTTGAAGTCCTTACTCAAATGTGTTCGAGGAAGCGTACCTGTCCAACAACCTTGGCCAAATCTCGAGTGGTTTGTGAGGATGATGGACGCGGTGCCAATGGTCGCAGTCCCGAGTGAGAAGTATCAATGGACGTGGTTGTAGAAGAAACAACTTCCTCGGCTTCATTCTGAAGCTCAAACATCCAATAAAGGTGACAATTTAGCAATTAAAACTATGCAAAGCTGTGATAGCTGACCTTTATCGTAGCATACTGGGCATCTGGCGTTCGTCCAACAAGTCGTGTGCCTGGCAATGACGGCGGACCCCGAACAGTTTTGGACGACGTTGAGAGGTACTGCAATCTTTTTGATGAAAATGTAATCCTCAGCAAATATGTCATCAAAAGTGTCTATTGGGGTGTCTACAAATGCTTTCATCGTTCCAACCGCAGGCCACAAAATTATCTCAGATAACTTTGACAAATGCAGTTCATAGAGATGAATTTAAGAAAAAATACTTCTTGCAAAAAAGAAGGATTACCGTTGATGGTGGCTGCGAGAGCTGTTTGGCAAGCCTTTGTTGTTCCACTTGAGCGTTCATAAGCAGATCTGCAAGATCATATAGATGACAGCAAGTGATAAGGAATCACTGATTTGAACAAGATTATTCACAGAGGAGGAAGCCCTGTATAATTACTCACGTTTAAAACCGCTCAACCACTCACCCTTCACTTTATTTTCGACTGAAGCTTCCGAACGTTCCTGATGATGCTGTAAGGTTCCTCGTAACCTGTCTGTGGATACAAGCGGAGATGATTTCTTAAAGAGAGTGTGTTGTTCTTTATTCATAAAAAAAGTAGCACTATTCATCTACAAAAGTATGAATTTAAAAATCTTGCTGTACGTATATCGCGAAAATCATGCAAAAAAACTCGAACATTTACCTCATAAGCTAGTCTGGCCGAGCTGTTGGTTCCCGTAGACGATGAAGACGAACTACGCATCGAACTACCCTCCACTGATCTTTTCAGCGGTGGCGTGGCTGTACCAGCTTTCGAGGACGATGGTCGTTCTGAAGCAATGGAACACCTCCGAGTCAATGGATCTCCACTTATTTGTAAGAAGAAATGAAAAGTCATGCCGAAAACCTCAGAATATCGATTCTCATTTATTTTTTCAAATATCACCCAGAACGCAACTGTCATGCTGATCAAGAAACAATATACAATCTTCACAATAGAGCCGGTGGGACTACTATTGGTCCTACCAGACCAACTTCCAAGAAAATCTGGATTTTGACTCATTACCGCCCACCTACCGTAATCTTAAATAGAACCCTAACATGCGGTATAGACACGACTTTCACCAAAATGACAATATATAACCATAAACCAGATTTCACTCATTTCTGTGATTGCTAATTACTACCGCCTACCCGCAATCCTATGGTACGGACCTGATTTGAAGTGCTTACGATTTGCTTGATCCCCATTTCAAATGGATGCCATCTAACGTAGCTGCTGCGCGGACAGTTCACGTCCGGCAGATGCATCACGCAGCCATTGGTGGTATGTGGAAGGATTCGAGCTTTCACATAGCCTCCAATGACCTTGAGAGACGTTTTCTCTCAGAGTGAGACGATGATTTATTTTTTATCAGCGGATCGGAGGACTTAGTGCTTATTAACTTCATCGTAAGGCAAATCCTTTTCACGCAGATAGCGCTGATGGAGAAAGAGGGAAATGCTTCACCAACTCCATAGGGATGGTAAATTGTTGATAGTTAATTTTGTTCTTGATAATTCAGTCTTCCGCTCCAAGTACCTAATCCTTCGTTCGGATACATCTTTCGTAGCCCCAATTATCTGTGTGCCGTCTTTCTGTTAATACTTTTGAAGAATTATAAGTATCTAAGATCAATTAGTACCAAACTATACTAAGAGTTTAGATGTGGAAAAAAACTATGAAATCTAACTAGGTTTATGGAAAGAAACTTTAGCTTTATTGACTAGTATAACTACGAATTGATATGGATAA